TGTGTTTTACTACGTGGGATCCCAGCGACGTAGCCATTACACCATCTGCTGGTCCCGAAGTTTTCATGGATTTTTTAAAATTTAAGGAATTGGGGACCAGCCGTTAGCGTAATGGCTATGTCGCTGGACTCCCACGTAGTCGACCGCAGTTCGAGTCCCGGACCCGGTGGCTTAAACTCACGCTGGGCACGTGAGTATGCGTGGCCAAGATCCCGAGGAGAATGGAGGAGAAGGGATTGTGGCGTGGCCATCCCTCCTAGGGGGTGATTTCTCACTTTCTGTCTCTCTGTCTCTCTCTGTCTGGCAAGTGCACACACCCTGTAGCAAAAACCTCCAAAGGGAAAAAAAAAAAAATTAAGGAATTGGGCTAGCCAACTGGGCACAGTGGTCAAGGCAGCCAGATACCATATGGCTGACTGTTCTGTTCAAGTCCCAGACTTGGCAGCTTGAAAAACACACTGGGTGTGTGTGCGCAGGTGCCCCAAATTCCAAAGAATGAAAAAATAGGGACTGCGGCGTGGCCACCACTGCTGGGGGCGGGGTAGGGGATGATTTCTCACTTTCTCTCTGTCTCTCTCTCTCTCCTATGAGAACATGTACTGTATAGCAAAAACAAAAAATATATTTAAAAAAAAATGAAGAAATCACCAGGTCTTTCAGTGACTTTATTAAGGAGAAATTCCACAGCGCTGTTTCTAACTCGCCGCCCAGAGTCCTGCTTCTGCGCATTACTATTGATGTGTTCTTTGATAACTACTTGAGCCTGTGGCTCCATCTCCTGGTGAAAATAAACATAGCAGTTTTACTAAGAGACACTCACGCAGCATCAGTCTGTAGAGGATTCAGGTACCGTCCTTGTTCTAAATTTAATCTATAAACTTCAGAGCTGCAAAGCAACAAACAGAGTTAAAAACCTGGTAAACGAAATGAACTTTTCTTTCAGCAAATGCACATTTTAGAAAAAAATACACACATACACACGTCATTCATAAGACATCATTTCTTTTGTACATCAGACACAAAAATGTATTCTAAACCTAAAAACTATTTACCTATGTGTGAATTTGTTCATATCTAACAGTGACTTAGATAACTCACGTACCAAGAACATATCATGAAATCATTAAGTAGACTATTATTTGTACACACAGACACTTGGGCAGCCTGCATGATTTTTAAGCCACCAGGACCAGGACTGAACTACGCTGGCCACGTCAAAGGCCACCACCTTCACCACCACACCACACACCAGCCCCGAGGATAAAAATGGTTAGACCACTGGCCAGACGGTAATGTGGTGGCTGCGGTGGTTACACCTCACATGACAAACTGTTCAAGTCCTGGACCTACTGCCTTGGAAAACATGCCAGGCACACATGTGTGCATGTTCAAAATCCCAGGAGAATGGAGAAGGGATTGTGGTGTAGCCGTCTCCTCTGGGGGGTTGCTTTCTTACTTTCTCTCTCTCTCCCTGTCTCCAGCAAGTGCAGTATTACAAGCACAAAGTTTTATGAGTATCGTGAGGGACCAGGAGATGGCAAACTGGTTACGTTGCTGGACTCCCACGTAGTTGACCATGGTTCGAGTCCTGGACCTGGTGGCTTAAAACTCACGCTGGGCGCGTGTGCGTACGTGACCAAAATCCCAAGAGGAGACTGGAGGAGAAGGGACTGTGGCATGGCCATCCTCCCGTGGGAGGTGATTTCTTGCTTTCTGTCTCTCTGTCTCTCCGGCGAGGACATGGGCTCTATAGCAAAAAATCTCTGTCAAGAAAAATAAGTGATAGGGCTAAGAGCCTGCCCCTGTGAGGCTCCCTGTGTATCTCTGTGTTTAGAACTTACAGAAGTCAAGTAGGTCACTCCCAAAGCAACCTGGCAGAGACAGATTTTTTTGCTATAGGGTATGTGCACTTATCAAAGAGACAGAAAGTGAGAAATCACCCCCCAGGAGGGGTGGCCATGTCACAATCCCTTCTCCATTCTCCTCTTGGGATCTCGGGCATAAGCACACACGCACCCAGTGTAAGTTTCAAGCTGCCAGGTCTGGGACTCGAACCGCGGGGTTTACTACGTGGGAGTCCAGTGACATAACCGTTAGCCATCTGCTGGTCCCAGGTCTTATTATTCTTCAAAGCCCTCTCCCATGTCTATTTTGAACGGAAGTCCATAACTACATACATATAACCTGAATCACAAATGGTCCACACAGAAATCCAGCATGGATACTGAATAAACTTAAAGCAAAAGCTGAGAGTTTTAGGACCCAAACAGAAATCTGCAAATATGAAGAAAACTAAAACAAATATTGTGTCCCACAAATCGTGGGGACTGGGCCATACTGAGCAGGCTTACACAGGTCCCTCCATAGTTCCTGGTGTGAGCACTGTGACATGCAACAACCACTGATATTGTCAATGCTAGAAAAGACCCTCAGGCCAGCCCCAGAGCCTCCTGGTTAGGGAGCTGGATCCGACACGGCCAGCTGTGGTTCAAATCCCAGCCCAGTGGCTCGAAAATCTCTCCAGGACCAACAAACGGAGAAGGGATTGTGGTGTGCCCACACTCCATTGGGGTTCTTTCCTCCCTCTCTCTCTGCCAAGCACACATGCCCCACGGCAGTTAAAAATAAAAAGACGTTGGGGCCAGCAAGTGGTATGGTGGTTAACGTGCTGGACTCTTACATGGCTGACAGTTTGAGTCCTGGACCTGGCGGCTTGCTTTCTCACTCCTCCACCCTCCCGCCCCTATATGGCTCTCTAAGGGGAGTGCCCTGTAGCAAGTTACAATAATAATGATAAATAAAGTTAAATAATTATTTTCAAAAAAGACCTTATTAAGGGAAATAACAGGTGTTGAAGCAATACATTATAATGGTAACACTTAAAAATAAACTGCATCAATATGCAGAAAACAGGAATTTTTTTCTTATTCCTTGTTTCCTAAGGTTTATTATTCTTTTTACAATAACCATTTTTTGTGTTAAAGCAAGCTACTTAAGTAGATAAAGTGCACAGAAACTTTAAGAACTGAAGTTAGTTGTTTTACGAGATGGAAGGGAGGAAGCAGACGGAGACCGGGTCTACTACCTGGCACCGACGAAGTACAAGTCGCAGGAGGGGTAGTGGTAAGAGAAGTCTCTCCCGAACTTCGGTATTCTGGTTTTATAGTAAAACCCTGACTGTGAGTGAAATTCAATGTATCTGTCATTATGTAAGAAGACAATCTGAAAATAAAGCAAGAAAATCAGTTTGCTCACATTTCCAAGTAAAACATATTTTGTCATCTCTAAGACTGGCTGAGCAAGAACTGATCTCTGCCACCCACCCTGATCTCTGCTCCTTGTCTCAACACACGTGCACACGCATCCTCTCCCCGCTCCCACTGCCTTCCACCTGACGGCTGTGCTGCAGACTTCCCTCTCACTGAGACTAAGAGCAAACGACCTTCATTTACTAGGTGTGGGTATTTCCAAGGTGGAGCCACGCACGGTAACCTCAATGAGCAATTTCCTGCTTCATTTAGGAACATGCTAGAAAAATCCCGCAATTATCATACAGGGTTTGGTAAACCTTAATGTAAATTTAAAGTTGACCTGCTACAACATAGCTTAAAAATCGACTGGCATGGTGGTTAAGGCGCTGAACTCCCACATGGTCAACTATGGTTTGAGTACCAGACCTGTTGGCTTGAACATCATGCTGGGCATGTGTGCATGGGTGCCCAAAATCCCAAGAGGAGGGTGAAGACGGGATTGTGGCAAGGCCATCCCCGCTGAGGGGTGACTTTTCACTTTCCTTTTCTGTCTCTCTTTGTCTCTCTCCAGCAAGCACATGCACCCTCTAGCAAAAATCAACATAAGAAAGGAGAAAACCCCACAGATAGTATTTAAAGGCAAATGTATCAATATTTAAAGAGAATATAAAATGGCATGTCCCTAAACACAGGAGAAATGGCATCCACATCCACAAGGATAAACTGTGATGCAGTTTCGAGAACTAACGACATTAATATAAAACCGTGTCCACTAAGAAAACTTGTATTTTTCAAGATGACACTGGCATCACTAAATTCCTTTAAATGTAAAATGAGTGTGAAGCCAGCCTTGTAGCATGGTGGTTAAGTGCTGTGCACTAGGAGCTAGATCCCACATCAGCAACTACAGTTCAAATCCAAGCCCCGGCTTCTTGAAAAATACACTGGGCACATGTGTATTTGATGCCCAAAATCTTGATGGACTGTTGAAGTGGGGGAAGAACTGCAGCGCGGCCATGCCCCACTGGGGGAATTTTCCCCTCTCTATGGCAAGTGCACATGTACTTGGACAATGAATCAAAAAAATGCATATGGGAGACCAGCAGTTAGCATAATGGCTATGTCGCTAGACTCCCATGTAGTCGACCAAGGTTTGCGTCCCGGACCCGGTGGCTTAAAACACACACCGGGCGCGTGTGCGTGCGTGCCCAAGATCCCGAGAGGAGAATGGAGGAGAAGGGATTGCAGCATGGCTATGCCCCCTGGGAGGTGATTTCTAGTTTTCTGTCTCTCTGTCTGTCTGTCTGTCTGGCGAGTGCACGCGCCCTATAGCAAAAAAACTCTCAAAAAAAAAAGTGCATATGGACTTACTGACAATTTCACACCCTAAAAATGACCAGGACGGTTGAAAAATAAACTAATGGTACCAAGAAAAAAGGAAGAAATTTACTCTGCTGTGTTTGAAGCTATTCCGGAATGCCATCGCCACTTGTAAGGTCAAGAAAATGAAACATGGAACACCACTAACTTACATAAAAGAAAATGAAAGCAATCTGGCAAATAAACCCAGGCTAAATGTAATCATCTGAATCACAGATCTAGAGGACAGTTACAAAACGTGACTGCTACCAATTCTTAAGAACACGGATGGTGGGGCCAGCAGATGGTGTAATGGTTATGTTGCTGGACTCCCACGTAGTCTACCGCAGTTCGAGTCCTGAACCCAGTGGCTTAAAATTCACACTGGGCACATGAGATGCGTGGCCGAGATCCCGAGGGAGAATGGAGAAGGGACTGCACTGCGGCCATCTCCCCTGGGGGGTGATTTCTCACTTTCTGTCTTTCTGGCAAGCGCATGTGCCCTACAACAAAAATCTCTCTAAAAAAACCACAGACGGGCCAGCCATGGTGGTGCAGTGGTGATGCAGAGTGCCACGCTGCTGGGCTAGCGGAAGGCCCAGGGGACACCCAGGTCACACTGGGCACACGCAGGCGTGCCACCAGTCCTGGCTGGCTGTGGCCAGCAGGGAAGAGCACAGCGTGAAGGCCCTGTGGGGTGTCTTTCTGGCTTTCCCTCTCTGCTCCTGCCTGTCTCCCTTTCTCCTGAAACAAGTAAATAAACTCCAGAATACAGATAGATACGATTTCATGTCAGGTGAAACCTATTTTTGACATTACACTGGCCAAAGCCTATCTTTTTCACACACCCTGCTTTTTGATTTAGGGCATGTGCGCACACTGGAGAGAGAGAAGGAGAGAAGGAAAGAGGGGAAGAGGGAGAGAGGAGAGAGGAAGAGAGACAGCACCCCACCAGGGAGGATGGCCATACTGTAATGCCTTCTCTATTTTCCTCTTGGGATTTTTGGCACACATACACGGCAGCATGTTCTTCAAGCTGCCGGGTCTGGGACTCAAACCCCAGAGTCAGACGTGTGGGATCCGGCCACCTTTACTACCATGCCACAGGCTTGCCCTACAAATCCATTTTTAATTTACTAATTGGCACATCATAAAAGTAAATTCCACTCATTCGTTTCTTGAGTATAGTAACACAAACCAATGCTACCAAACCTACCTTTGAATAATCATCAGACAAAATTTCGAAGGTAACAACTGAAAAACAAGAAATCGTAGGAAAAATATCGTTATCAATGTTCTTAATGAACATGCAAACCTGATGCAAAGTCTACTGTAACACAGACATTACACACAAACACCACTTGTTTCCTGTTCTTATCCTAATAAATGAACAACACAGCCATGCTATATTGTCCCTAAAACGCTACCAGGAAAAATAAGAACTTTGCAATTTCTCAAAACACATCAACTAATTTTCCGGCAGAACTGAAGCAAACTCATAAAATATAATGACTTCTAAATTTCACCACTATTTTTCTGAGATATTTGAAAAAAGTACTTTTAAGACTGTTCATTATAAATTAAATGTAAGAGGTGTTACCAGCAGGCCAGCAGATGGCATAAAGGTTACAATGCTGGATCCCAGCAATTCGAGTCCCAGCCCTGGCGGCTTAAAACTCACGCCAGGTACATGTGTGTGTGCCTGCCCAAAATCATACCAGAATGGAGGAGAAGGGACTGTGGTGTGGCCACCTCCCGGGGAGGGGGGTGATTTTCACTTTCTTTCTTTCTCTGGCAAGCGCACACACCCTACAGCAAAAATCTCTCAAAAAAAAAAAAAAAAGGTGTTGGGGCCGGCAGGTGGTGTGGTGGTTAAGGGCGCTGGACTCCCACATGGCCGAGTGTGATTCGAGTCCCGGACCTGGCAGCTTGCTTTCTCTCTCTCACGCTCTCTCTGTCAGAGGGGGGTGATTTTCACTTTCTTTCTTTCTCTGGCAAGCGCACACACCCTACAGCAAAAATCTCTCAAAAAAAAAAAAAAAAGGTGTTGGGGCCGGCAGGTGGTGTGGTGGTTAAGGGCGCTGGACTCCCACATGGCCGAGTGTGATTCGAGTCCCGGACCTGGCAGCTTGCTTTCTCTCTCTCTCGCTCTCTCTGTCAAAGTTAGATACATACATACAAACATACATACATAAAGTTAATTTAAAAAAAAAGAAGTGTTACCAAAAATAAAAGAGCTAACAGTAACTTTTTACTCATTCATAGTTCACTTGCCAGACAAAAATGAAGGATGAAACCATCTCTTACTAGCGGCACAGAGATCTGCTCCTTCCAGAAACTCCCTGGGGTGGGGTGCAGTGCCCAGTGACGCCAGCACACACTGCCAGGCCCTGTTCCCTGCAGCCTGGGGACACACAAAGGCCAGGTCTGATTCCCAGCCCCACCTGAAGGCCGGGCGCAGTGGCATACGCCCGTAGCCCCGGTGACCTGGGAGGCTAAGTCAGGAAGATCACAAGCTCAGTGACGGCCGGGGCAACAGAGCAAGATGCCAAAACATAAAAAGGTGGGGGAGCCAGCAGGTGGCATGGTGGGTAGGGTGCTGGACTCCCACATGGTTGACCACGGTTTGAGCCCCGGACCTAGTAGCTTGCTTTCTCATTTTCCCTCTCTGTCTTTCTCTGATGAATTAGAAAACAGTAATAACAGTAAATTGAACAATTCTTAAAAAAAAAAAAAAAGAAAAACAAGGAGGAGGTGGACAGTGGCACAGGGGTAATACAATGCTCTTCAAGGCTGACCCATGTGGGAAGGTGCCAGATTTGTATCTGAGACCTCCCTGAACACGGGGCACGAGGACTGGCTAAAGCTGGGAGTGGACAGTGCCATGAAGACCCCCTTCGGGACCCCTGTGGGTGGTGGCACAAACACCCCCTTTGGGACCACTGTGGGTGGTGGCATGAAGACCCCAATGGGGACCCCTGTGTCCCTTGCCCACAGAAGGGAGGAAAGGCTGGGGTAAAGGAAGGAGGGAGGAAAACAAGCCGATGTGGTGGCACGCACCTACGGCTTCGGTGGGCAGGCCGAGGCAGGACAATGACTTGGTGAGGTCCCATCTTAAAGGGGTGGGGGCAGGCAGTGGCACAGTGGTGGCACACCCAGTCCTGCACAGGGAGGGTCCCTTCTGCGCACAGGGAACTCCCTCATATACCAAATGCACATGCATGTGCCCTGACCCAGGCTGGCTGAGACCATTAGGGGGATACATGTCTGTCGGTCTCTTTCTCTCCGAAGATATAAACAAACAGGCCAGTCCATGGCCTGGTGGTTACAGCTGGATCCCATGTGGCTGACTGTGCAGTTCCAGTCCTAGATGTGGTGACTTGAGAAACATGCCAGGCACATGTGCACACATGGCAAGATCCCAGAAGAAGGGAAAAGTGGAGGAAAAGAGGCTATGGCACGACTGTCCCCCCATGGAGGGCGCTTTCATGCTCTACCTCTCTGTCTCTCTCTGGTGAGCACATGTGCCATCCAGAAAATAAAAAAATTAAAAACTTAAAACAAAAGAATAACAAGCCAGGGCCAGGGGGAACCAGCAGTTAGCGTAATGGCTATGTTGCTGGACTCCCACATAGTCGACCGCGGTTTGCATCCCGGACCCGGTGGCTTAAAACTCACGCCGGGCGTGTGTGCATGCATGCCCAAGATCCTGAGAGGAGAATGGAGGAGAAGGGATTGCGGCATGGCCATCCCCCCTGGGGGGTGATTTCTCGCTTTCTGTCTCTCTGTCTGTCTCTGTCTGTCTGGCGAGCATACGTGCCCTATAGCAAAAAAAATAATAATAATAAAATAAAAAAAAAAACGAGGGCCAGAGGGTGGCACGGTGGTAAAATGCAGCACTCGGCAAAGCTGACGCACTGGGAGTGTCCGGATCACGTGGGAGGCCTCCCTGTGCATGCTGGGCCTAGGAGAGCCCAAGACCTGGGGCTGGCTGGGCGTGGAGTGGGCCCCGGCATCAGGACCCTATTGGGGATGCTCCCTCTTTCACGCTGTCTCTCTCATTCACAGAATAAACTTAAAAAAAAAAAAAAAAAGGGCTGTAGCCAGGTAGAATATGTGTATAAATTCTATCAATGTGCATACCATTAACTTCTTTTCCCTCAATCCCAAACACCAGACTGACTGACAAGAGCACGTGAAGGTTTTCCCATTTCAGGCAGAATTCCAAGACTGACTCCCTGGGCCCTTCACCCACGTGTAACCCACGCTCTTGAAAGGAGAGGCAGAAGCCGTGTCTATCTGGCAGAAGGTTTGGTCTCTATGAGCCCTTTAAAAGCAGAGTTTTCTCTGCCTGGTGGCAGAAGGCGCATTCAGAGTCGGGGCACAAGGGCACAGCTTAAAGGTGGAGGTGACCACAATGAAGAGGAACGCAGGCCATCTCGAGAAGCTGTGTCCCCAACTGACAGCAGGGCCAGCCCCAGGACCACAACCAACTGCGTCCTGCTGACAGCCTAAGTCAGTCTGCAAGCAGGTCCCTCCCCAGCGCCTCTAGGTAAGCGCCCCCTGGCGGCCAGCGAGCGGAGCCCTGAGCACAGGACCTGCATGGACTGGAGATCCACCTGACTTCAAGCTACTCAGCGGCCGCACTAAGCCACTGCATGTGCAGTAGTTTATCAGCAGAGTATAAAACCTGAATATAAAACCCATCATTTAAAACGCATTCCCATTTTCAAAAACCAGAAAAGCAGAAAAATATAAAAAGCTTTTTCATGAATTCAGATGTAGTCTCTTACCTTCTGAATCCAAACACCTTTCAAACTTCAAGGATAACTGATAGGTATCATAACATCGAACCCGAGGCTTATATGTTCCTATAACATAAATTAATGTGATATAAAACCTGAAGGCATTCTTTTCGGTGAATAACGTAGATATGCTGAGTATACATTCTTTTCAGGGATAGGCAGGATCAATCATAAGCAATAAAAGCAAAGCAATTTAAAAAGCAGCTCTTCCCAAACGTGCTGAGGGGAAAATAAGCAAAGGCAAGCCAGCTGTAGAAAGTGAAATACGAGGGAACCAGCAGTTAGCGTAATGGCTATGTCGCTGGACTCCCACGTAGTCGACCGCGGTTCGCGTCTCGGACCCGGTGGCTTAAATCTCACGCCGGGCGCATGTGCGTGCGTGCCCAAGATCCCGAGAGGAGAATGGAGGAGAAGGGATTGCGGCGTGACCATTCCCCCTGGGGGGTGATTTCTCGCTTTCTGTCTCTATGTCTCTCTCTGTCTGTCTGGCGAGCGCACGCGCCCTATAGCGAAAACCTCTCCAAAAAAAAAAAAAAGGAAGTGAAATACGAGTAAGGAGTAAACTGCGCAAATAATCTAACGGGAGTAGGTTAAAACAATGAAGTCACCTTTTCTCTATCAGAGGGGCAAAGATGAAAAAGATGGTTGCCATGGGTGTTGGCAGAAAAGGAATGCACAGCGTGTGACGGCACTGATGTGACAGTCCCCACGGGCGAGCGTGTCTGCGGCGACAGTCAGAGCAGTGGCTGCACCCCCGCCGGGGGAAAGGCGCACTCTGTATCCCAGCAGAAGTTTGGGTCACATGGGTGTGCGCACTTGCTAAAACTCATCGAGCGGAACACGTAAGATCTGTGGGCTTCATTGCATGTAAGTTTTGCCACCAAAGAAACATAAGTGGGGCCAGCACCTGGTGCGGTGGTTAAGGCACTGGACTCCCACACGGCTCGAGTCCCAGACCTGGTGGCTTGCTTTCTCACTTTCCCTCTCTCTGACGCTCCCTGGTGAGTACACGTGCCCTATAGCAAATTAAATAATAACAAATGAGATCCAATAAATAATTACTTAAAATTCGTTAAGTAAATGTTAAATACTGAGCTCTAGTTAATGACATACATGCTAAGGTACTCAGGGGTGAACTGCACTGGTATTTCCAACTGCTCTGAAACGTATCAAAAACCAAGATGGATTGATGAGTGGACAGACAGCTATATAACAAAAACCTATATAGTAAATTATTTACTGGTGCTCACTGGATAATTTTTTCAGTATTTCTGTATGTTTACTTTTTGTACAACACAATTATCAGGGTTAAAACAAAAAAGACTTCCAACCACAGCATTTCCTGTTAGGAGACATGAGAGTCGTAGCCACGAAGATGCTCACCAGTTGCTAAAATGTACTGTCCATCTTTGGACACCTTCACAGTGGTACAAACGGTCGGCATCTCAAAGTCCTGAATCAGTTCAATTCTCCTACGGACATCTACAAAGAGAGGAGAAGGAGCCACTGTGACAAATGTGCTTGTCTCCGTCATCGAGGACAGGCTGCGCCCAACAGTCACAGCGGCCACCAGCCACCACTGGGAAATACACCCCAGCCGCTGCCACCTTCAGGGTGCACCAGACAGCCTGCCCACCGAGCAGTAGGGGCTTCAGCTCACAGTTTTTCTCAGCTAAATAACACATTTTTAGATTTCAAAAAGGAAAAACTATCATTAGCTGAAAAAAAGAAAAGACAATTCCACAATAGGCTGTTCAAGGTCCAGGCTTAAGATCTGGGTGAATGGAAGACAAATGAAGACACCAGAGATAGTGTGAGAAGAGGGTGGGAAAGGACAGAGGGTCAGAAAGAGGGGTCAAAAAATTCTAGGAACTAGAAATGGAAAATTTTTGATAATAGTATGCATGATTAAGTCACTATGCAGTATATACTGGATGGGAAATCACATTTTGTATGCTGTGATGATGCTTAATCACATTTTGTATGCTGTAATGATGCTTCGGGAAAGAATGTAAATTAAGTTACAAAAAAAAGTTTTAGAAAAAAAAACTATTCAATGACTGTAGTAAGATACATAGCCCCAGCTAGGTGCTACTTTATAGGATGCCTAAAGTTAGACTTGTGTTCATGGAAATGTATATATCAACTGTGTTTGCTATGAAAATATTTAGATTAATTAAGGTCTTTAGTAATTCAATAAAATGTGGGGGGAAAACAGTATAGAAAGCAAACACAGATACCAGAGACAGTGTGGGAGGAGAGTGGGAGATGGCAGAGGGTAAGAGATAGGGAATCAAGGATGGGGGGGGGAAGCAAAACATACAGAAAACAAGAAATGGAAAATTATTTGTTGACAATAACATGTTTGTTGATGTGCTTGATTGAGACAATATACAGTGTACTCTGGATGGAAAATCTCATTTTGTATGCTGTAATGATGTACAGTGAATGAATGCAAATAAATAAATCTAAATTAAAAAAAAAAAAGATCTGGATGAAGAAGGAACAATGTAACCATTTAACCACCCCGTTACCTGATCATAGTTGAGACAAAAATCTCATATTTTTTTCTCCTAAGTATTAGGTAGTTGGGAAAGCCATGACGCTTTTTTCGGGGGGCGGGGGGCGGGGGAAGGTTTTTGCTATAGGGTGTGTATGCTTGCCAGAAAGACAGAGAGATAGAAAACAAGAAATCATCCCCCAGTGGGGATGGCCCCACCGCAATCCCTTCTCCTCCATTTCTCCCCTCCTCTTGGGCACACACGCACATGCACCCGGTGTGAGTTTAAGCCACTAGGTCTGGGACTAGAACCACAGTCGGCTACATGGGAGTCCTGCGACACAGCCATTATGCTAACTACCAGTCCCAAGTCATGATGCATTTTTGCATGGAAAAATATGTCACGACTTTCCCGATGACCTAATAGGAACAGTTTGAAGACACCAAAATTGTAAGTTTATGCAAGAAACTGCCACCCAGCTGACTTTGGCTGTAGGTGGCAACACTGGCCGCTAAAAGGACCCAGGCCAGGGAAGGATTTAGAACAATCTCCCCGGATCAAAACACCAACATTGACTCTCAGGAAAACTCGTTCGTTGGTGTAGCAGAGCAGCTGCGCCCGCGATCCACTCACTGAAAGTTAGCCCTTGACAAAAATAAGTAAGAAAACGAACAAACAAAAAATTCATCCCAAGACCAGCAAATGGCGTAACGGTTATGTGCCTGAACTCCCAAGTAGTCAACCGCAGTTCAAGTCCTGGACTGGGCGGCTTAAAATCCACGCCAGGAGCATGTGTGTTGCATGTCCAAGATCTTGAGAGGAGAATGGAGAAGAGATTGTGGTGTGATTCTAATTTCTCACTTTCTGTCTCTCTGGTGAGCACACATGCACTATAGCAAAAATCTGGCTAAAAAAACAACTCATCCCTCCCTATGAGGAAGTATGGATTCTTACTGTTGCTACAGGCTCAGGATCCCTTACCCAAAATACGTGGGACCAAGGGTATTTCAGACTGGATTTTTTCAGGTTTGGGAATATTTGCACATACAGAAGAAAACAGGTGATAGAACTAAATCTAAACACAAAACCCATTTAGGCTTTACATACGTGTCTTATACACATACCCTGAAGGTGATCCTACACAGTACTTGTGTATTGCAGCATTTTGACTGTGACATATTAAATGAGGTCAAAGGTGGAATGTTCCACTTGTAGTGTCATGACAGGGTTCAAAACCTTCAGAACCAGGCCCACTCCATGGCCAAGTACTTAAGACAGCTGAAGCCTACATGGGCAGATGTGCAGTTCGAGTCCCAGACCCTATGGCTTACTCTGCGGCTTAAGTAACATGCTGGGCACGTGTGTGTGCATGCACAAAATCCCAAAAGGAGGGAGAGATGGAGAAGCGACGGCAGCGTGACCGTGCCCACTGGGGAGTGCTTTCTCCTCTCCCACTCTCTTCTCGCTGGCAAGCGCATACAACCTCTTCCAAAAACAATTTTAAACTTTCAGATCTAGGTCATTTCAGACTTCAGACCTTTGAACTAGGGACACTCAGCATCTATCACAGCAATGTGCTTCCTGCAAAGACCATCACCCTGGCACATTCCGGTCTTCATTTATTAAGTCAAAGTAGACTCAAACCAGCCCAGTCAGAGGGCCCCATTCAATCTGGAGACACACAGTACCTTCAAGATGGGTTTGCTGAAACAGTATGGACAATTTTTCCCCTACATAATCGGAATATGTTTTGTTACACAAGAGAATACCAGAGAACCAGCAGTTGGCGTAATGGCTATGTCGCTGGACTCCCACGTAGTCGACCGTGGTTCACGTCCCGGACCTGGTGGCTTAAAACTCACGCCGGGCGCGTGTGCGTGCCCAAGATCCCGAGAGGAGAATGGAGGAGAAGGGATTGCGATGTGGCCATCCCCCCTGGGGGGTGATTTCTTGCTTTCTGTCTTTCTGTCTCTCTCTGTCTGTCTGGTGAGCGCACGCACCCTATAGCAAAAACCTCTCAAAAAAAAAACCACATGAGAATACCAGAATGGGAAAACCAAAAACTGTACTAAATCATCAATTTTCATTTTCCTTTGATCTAAAATTTTAATTTCCTAACTAAAAGCTTTTTAGTTAGGAAATTAAATCTCACTTTTTTTTTTTTTTTGAGAGGTTTTTGCTATAGGGCACATGCACTTGCCAGAAAGACAGAGAGA